ATATATATATAATATTTTTTTTTTCCCCGAAATTTTCAGAAAAGTCCACTTTCATCTCTGGGTGAGGAAAAACCACTGTCACCTCCGCAAAATCAAAAATATTGTGATAAAAGTTTGTTTGTTCTTTTTTTTAAAACAGGTTGAAATAGTAATGTACATATGAATTTTAGTCGCGATTGGTCGTAGTTTTCACACATTTAGCGACGCTCAAGTTTTGTTACAGGTCCACTTGCAGACAGGCAGGCGGCCATATCTGTTAGCTTCTGCCACTTGTCTTGTTTTTAAAAAAGGCTGCGGGAGAAAAACTGAGTTTGGGTGTACAGTAAAACCTCGGTTTTCGAACGTCTCTGTTCTCGACCAAATCAGTTTTCGACCAAAAATTTTGTGTTTTTTTATGCCTCGGATTACGACTGAAAATCGGTTCTTGACCAAACTGAGCGCACTTCAATGCGCCGTTTGACTCCTCTCGCCTTCCTTACACAAGGAAGTGACGCTTCCTCGGGTAGACGAAGTGACGCTTCCTCGTGTAGCGCTCCATTGTGAGCAGACGTGTTCAATAAAGATTTTTTTTTTTTTTTAAAAGAACGTGATTTTGGTTTTCGAACAAATCGGTTTTCTAACAGCCTTCTGGAACGGATTATAGTCAAAAACCGAGGTATGACTGTACTTTATTTTTTTGATCAATCCTCATCCACAAATCCATCAAAGTCCACATATTCTGTATCCGAAATGAACAGGTGGGCAAGTTCTCCTTTCGTCATTGTCAGAGTCAGTCCTGTTGGGATGCACCTCCTCAGAAATGATGCCGGTTTTTGCCAAAACTGGAACAGTGCAAGCAGAAATGTGAGCCAAGCATCTCAAATCCATTCACGGATTGTGGCGTAACTCGCCCGGTGCTGCCTCCCAGTCTTAGTAAAGCTGTGTCCGCCATCTATCATCCATTGCTCCCACGCCGCTCACAACTTCACTTTGAAGTTTTCACCGATGTCCAGCATTTGGAGTTCCCTTGTCAAGCCTCCCGGCATGATGGCAAGCTCAGTTCATTTGCCACACATGGAGTCATAGATCAAAAAGGACAGTGTTGTTGCCATGGTGAAGCGGTGTTTGCAAAGAAAAATGATGCTGTTTTTGAAGGTCTAAACCTGGGTGACAATTCATTACATTTTGCACACACATCGGGCCTGTCAAAACTTTTTATATTTTAGAGGGTGATTGTGCCAGCCCCCTAATATGTAAGTACGCTAGTGTGGCCAGCCAGGGTTGCGACAGCCCTTCAAAGCTGCTCACAGCTCGAGTTGTCCGATGGATTTATACATTTTATTTCCTGGGGCTGCAAATGTCACCAATTTGTCAAATGTCCTATACATGCTGTATAACCATGAACATAGAAAATGCAGCATTCCTTTTTATTTACATGGTTATTTATTGACAGGGCGGGCTAAAATGACAAGTCCACACCACTTTGTAGTTCATGGGTACATGTGACTTCTCTCATCTGCAAATGACACTATTGATTAATGACCTCATCATATGCAACCATTTGGGAACAAGCTTGTTTGTCACCAAGTCATTTGCACTCATTACACTTCCATTTGAAGTTATGTCGTTTGTCGTACGGCTGCGAACCTCTCTGTGGCTCTCTCAAGTCTTGTGCCATTCAGTGAGTTGATTTTATATCAGGCACGGCAGACTTGGGATATTTAAAAAATATTATTTTGGCTTACCCTGTTTACACATTGTTTCCAAAAAATTATACTGCAGCATGGAGGGAGAGCACTCACTACAGACAGAGCATCTGTGCAAGTACCTCTGTGTGGCTCTTACTGCAGTCTGCCCCCAAAAACAAAAATGTAACATTGTGCAAGATAAAGTCTCTTACTTCTCAATTTTAGATTAGATTAGATTAGATATCCTTTATTTGTCCCACACTGGGGAAATTTACAGCCTTCAGCAGCAAGATTGTGGGTAGAAAGAAGAGAAAAGAAAACACAGTTCAATTAAGTGCAATATAAAACAAAATGGGAAGAAGAAATAAATAAAGTAGAAGGATGAAAAGAAACTCAGACAGGGATATGCGCTGCTGGAGAGGCAGCCACTCAACACAAGATTCATAGCTTTGGATTATTTGGTCCCTTTCTGATCTATAACATTTCTGAAAATTAAGAAAACCTGATCCCTGATATGCTGAAAACCACCTGATTGGCCCAGACCAGTAATCCAGTGTGCCACTATCCCAATGTGCTCGTACTCCAAAGTGAGCAAGCTGCAAGGGCCCAATGTAGCAGTTCTTGTTTTTTTTTTTTTTTTTAATTCCCACCCCCCTCCCCCCAAAAAATATTCACCCATTTTGAATATGATGCCTGCAACACATTCCAATAAAGGTGAAACGGAAGCATTTTTCCAACCGTGTTACACCCTTTTAACAACACTCAATCTTATGGAAACTGAGGTCTACCATATTTTCCTCACTGTAAAAGCATTCCATTTTCTCAAAAGCCGACAGTGCGCCTTATAATCCAGACGCGCCTATATATGGTGTTGCATTCTCTTTATATTTCCCATTGAGTTGTTTCCCTGTTAGTGTCCCGATGCCATGTCATGGTGATTATTAGCAGGAACCAATTGTAACCTAAAAGGGTTGTTCTGCCCGAGACGTGCATTCTCCGACACACACTCAAACCGACAACTACCGTACTTTGTGGGCTCTGCACAGCCATTATGAAATGAAGATAATACCAAAAGCATAGTTAGCTACTGACTAAAGGAAGGAAAAAGGAGACAAGCAAGACTTCTCAGGAAATTTAGCCCCTTGTGGATGTGAACCCACGAGGGTTGTGTGCCTTTTTGTTGAATCATTGTCTTCATAACTTTTGTCTCTCATTTATTGTTTTTTAATGCCATTTGTATTTATGTTTCATGTTCATGTACCTGACCAGTTCCGCATGGCTTTGCTCTCTATAAAGCATTCCCTTTAGTGTAGCTCCATCTAGTGGATGCATTGCACAATTGCAGCCATGATTGTAGCTTCTTTTCTATGCACCTTATAATGCAGTGCGCCCTATATATGAAAACAGTTTTGAAATAGGCCATTCATAGAAGGTGCGCTTTATAATCCAAAGCGCCTAATAGTGCAAAAAATACGGTAGTTGTTGGAAGCCTAGGTGGAATTCTTTCTTATTGTTGCTTGATGTCCAGCCTGTGTTGCTAAACAGTCCCAAGATCTCCACTGAGTATTGCAATTCATAATGTGGCATATATTTTCAATGGGAGACAGCTCTGTATAGTGGAGATGGGGTGCTGCTGACGTGAACTTGGGAAGTTGTGAGTCAGTGGGGAGAATAATTTGAAGACCCCAATTCCACCGACACGCTTTCCTTTGAGGAAGTAAAGCTTGGAGACTCTGAGGTGCACGGGAGGTCGCCCAAACTCGTCAACATGTTTTGTGGACTGGGAGAAGGCGTTTGACAGTGTCCCTCGGGGAGTTCTGTTGCTGTTGACTTGGACTGCCGGCTGGCCTGGGAGCGCCTTGGAAAGAGTGGCTGCGGAGAAGGAAACTTTATTAGGACTTGTGGTTTGTATTAAGACACAGACCCATGTTCAATTCTGGTGATTTTTTTTCACACATTTGTATTTGCTCCAGCTTGTCACTGCTCAAGTGTTGTCACTTTCACCTTAGCATTCAACTGCTTTTATTTGGTTGTATTCAATTTAAGGAAAACCTTTTGTATTACATTTACACTTGTTGTGGTACCCTTGTATGACACTCATTGGAAAGTTGTGAGTGCAGGTAGTCTGAATTCTACATTGATTACACTGCCTCAATACCATGAGGACATCTTGAAAATCATTCGCCGGTCCATCCTTGCCATAAGAAACATATCTCAGCCTCCTGATATTTTTGTTAGGGAAAAATTTGGTGGAATACCGAATCTTATTGGAATTTTTTTTTTCCAATTCAAATGTTGTCCAATAATGAACAGAAAACATCTTTGTCCATTTATCAGGAAACTGCAGTACACACCAGAAGAAATTCTCGGGATGATGCTCAATTATTCTCGTGGACTGGCTGAGGACTTTGCAGGTCAGTTTTCTTTTTGAGTAAAATTCACATTTTGCCATTTGTATTCATTTGCCAACTTTTCCTCAAATGTTTTCCTCCCTATTTCTTTTTTTTCCCAACTTGTAGAACAGCCAATCAAAGACGCAGTTATCACTGTTCCAGCCTTTTTTAATCAGGCAGAGCGAAGGTCAATGCTGCAGGCTGCACAAATGGCAGGTCTGAAGGTCCTTCAACTCATCAATGACAACACAGCCGTTGCCTTGAATTATGGGGTCTTTAGAAGGAAAGATATTGATGCCACAGGCAAGGTAAAATTCAGCATTATTCCATAAATCTTTGTTCAGTCCTCAATGTTTTCACACCATTTACAAAAATGACGAATGTCAATGAGCCATTGTGCTCCTCACAGGATTAACTGTATGTAAATTCAGCTGCTGTGAATGTGACACCGACCTTTGTTGTCACTGGCATTTTAACAAACACTTGGAAATGTTATTTTGAGGTCGCGGAGTGCCAGCAAATTGCTAAATTATCGCATATGATTTCCTTTCAGAATGTGATGTTTTATGATATGGGGTCAGGCAGCACAACTGCCACTATTGTCACATATCAGACCGTGAAAACAAAGGATTCTGGCACCCAGCCGCAGTTGCAGATTGAAGGTGTCGGGTGAGTCTGTGATACAGTCCACTTGTAAATCATAGAAAAGGACAACTACTATTATCAACATTGTTAAATTAATATGAATGGAATACACAGAGTAAAAAAACAACCTGCCGAAGTCAAACACTAACAAAATGTAATGCTGAATGGAGGGAGAGAACAAAAAAATCAGAACAACATTAATAGTAAAGAAATAAACAAGGAAGACAGCGCCCCATTACTACTCCTAGCATTTCCAAAATGCCTCCTGAGGTCTGCCCGGTCCGAACCAAATTATCTTAACGTTGCTGATCCACAAATACTGAGGAGCAGGCTAATTGTGTCATAGCTGTGGCTTGGGTTTTTTGAAGCTCCTCTTCTACGGTTGCGATGCGTGTTTCAGCCTCTCCTACGCGTGATATTGTGCCAGAAATATTTTTGTCAGTGCTTGACGGTTTTCTTTCAATCACCTCAATTGAGTTAATGTGATCGTCGTCAATGTCTTCTTGCGTTTTGCTCCAAATATATGCAGTGTCAGCCACTGGTAATTCTCATTCTACTGTACAGCTCCCCCGCCGTCCCTGGCCCCCATTGCCTCCCCCTTCTTTTTCTTTTTCATTTTTTCACATTGGTTTATCACTCATCGACCGCGATGCTTCCATTCCTGTTTAAAAAAAAGGGTTGCTGAATTAATTCGTCATAGGCAGTGGGCGTGTTCTTTTTTGGCTGATGAATTTATTTTTCATAGGCAGTGAATGAGGCCATATGTTATTGAACTCCCCCACCAGATTTAATCTGATGTGCTTCAAGGCTGGTTCATATAAAGATATTGAAAGGCAGTTTACCTAAAGCATTTTATTTTGTCAAACGCTGCTGCCGTTGCAACATACTATTTGTTAATATAACCTAATAGTTTTTGAAGGGCTAAAAATGCACAAAATTCATGAAAAGTCCAAAATAAGAATGAGAAAGTGTAGAAAATTGCTTTTTCTTTGTTAGCCGTGAATGCATGGCATGTTTCATGTGCTCCAGATTTGATCGTGGTTTGGGTGGGTTTGAGATGGATTTTCGCCTTCGCGATCATTTGGCCGGACTGTTCAACAAGCAGAAAAAGACCACGAAAGATGTGCGAGAGAGCCCCCGTGCCATGGCCAAGCTACTCAAGGAGGCCCAGAGGCTGAAGACGGTGCTCAGTGCAAATATAGAATTCATGGCCCAGGTTAGTCCAGCTGCCAGAACTGTCATTCAGTCAGTCATGAATATCATTATTATATTGTTAATCATCAACAACTTAACTGCAAGTGTTTATTATTGTACACTCAGATGATAACACTAGGGACCACAATTTTTTGTGTGACACCTGTTTTTTAACGGTGCAGAATATAAACCTGATCTCTGTATTTCTTTGTCATGTTTTTGAGCTATAGATCTTAAAAAATAATAACTAGAGTGTGTGTGTGTGTGTGTGTGTGTGTGTGTGTGTGTGTGTACTGTATATATGGCGCACGTAAAAGCATAAAAGCATTCACGTTTCTCAAAAGCTGACGGTGGACTTTATAATCCAATGTGCCTTTTCTGTGGATAAATATTCTGATTTCTTGGATGTAGTATTTTAAATACTCTGAAAGCGCTTTGTCACAGCTGCAGCGGTGGTGAAAGCTCCATATAAATAAATCTGTATTGTATTCAACTCAACTCAAATGTATTTATAGAGCACTTTCACTTAGTTGTAGCGTCATCTAGTGGATGCACAATGCAACTACAGCCAGCATTTTGGCTTCTATTCTGTGCTCCTATTAATGCGGTGCCCCAGATGTATGAGTTAAAAGTTGAGATAAAGATAAATAAGTTGAAAAATTGGCCATTCATTGAAGGTGTGCCTCAGTGCGGAAAATATGCTAAATAAAACACAAATACAGTATAGTCACAAGCTTTGAAAACTAAATAAACTGCATAAAATGAAATTGAATTTACCACGGTATTACCATGGTTAAATTTAGAGAAAAGACAGCACTCGTCCTCTTAATCTCTACTATTGTATGTTAGCTTTTTGTTTGCAGATTGAGATAGTACTGACCTATTGGGAATCACACACCTCACGCACTGTCAATTGTGACTGCACAAAGAAGTTTCCATAAAACTATAGATGAATCAAATTGCAATAATGTGGCGAATGAGAGGATTGTTGCTCACCTGGTAAACTGGCAGGGGGGGATTACAAGAAAAAAATGACTGCAATTGTTTGAACCAGCATGCCAATATTAGTTTTAATCACCATAAAAATCTAACTCAACAGAATATTTGTTTTTTTTTTTCCGATCAGATGCACTAATCCTGAGTAGGGTTGGGTACCCAAGACTTTTTTTGGTACTCGGTTTGGGGTTGGTACAACTGAGCACTGCCTCAGATGAAGTCAAACAGTACCATGTTTCGGTTCCTGAAGCGCATCACTCTAGTTACAGTCACAATTGTGAGGGTTGGTGATTTTCCCGGGCGCAATTGAGCGCAGCAGTGTACGAACACCACTGAAATGTCACTCGCGCACACCCCGACTTCAAGTTTGTGGAAGGCTACTGTAGACATTTAAACAAATGTTTTGAATAACTGTGCCACTGATCTGGACCCTTATCTAGAGATTATCACACTGTCTTGATGTTTCTTTCAGGTGGAAGGTTTAATTGATGAAATTGACTTCAAGGCCAAGGTCACCAGAGCAGAGTTTGAAGAGCTGTGTGCTGATCTATTTGAAAGAGTGCCGCACCCGGTCCGGGATGCCCTCACTGCTGCAGAAATGAATCTGGTATGTATTCTGTATGCACACTATGTGAACTATTTTAGTGGCAGTAATTTCAAACGAATATTCAAGGTTTATGTTGGAACAAATGGAGCAGAAAAAATATTCTGATCCCGATACAGCAGACATAAACAAACCCAAACTCAATGTCTCATAAACCTGTCAAAGAAAAATAAGTAATTAATATTATTGGTTGTGAAGACAAAACACCTTCTGATTGTCATCAAATTGATATGAAGACTGTGAAAAAGATAAATGTGGGAATCTCGAAACCACTTCGATACATTGCCAATTTATCATTTCTGAACAAAACGGCAAAAATAATTCCGATCTACAACATTGGTCACAGACATAACTTACAAAACTACAGGCCTGTCTCCCTTCTACCACCATTCTCCAAAATGTTAGAAAAGCTGCTCAATAATAGATACATTCATAGAAAAACAAACTACTCTCTGATAGGCAGTTGGGATTTAGAGGAAATCAGTGAACTACATTAGTTTTAACAGAACATATCAAAGAAATTAGTGATTCCATAAGTTAAAAAAAACAAACAATGATTTGATACCATAAATTATGATATGTTGACAACTAAGTTGGAGGATTATGGTTTGAGGGATACTGCCTTGACCTGGCTTGGAAGCTGTTTAAAAGAAATTTTGTGGAATCAAAATTTTTGGACATTGTATGTGGCGTCCGGTAGGGGCAGCATTGATCTCAAAATTGTTTATATTATGTATTAATGATTCATGGAGTATATCCCACTTGCTGAAATGTGTGATGTTTACAGATGACACTAATTTTCTGGTGAGAAAATATATCATATTTTGGATGAAAGTGGAGCTGCGAGGGGGGGGGGAGGGAGTTGACCGACCAAAAACAATTTGTGTCAAAAACAATTTTTCGAGTAATCGATGGAATAGTCGATAGTATAATGGATTGATTAAAATTTTCAATAAATCCAGGTCCTGAGACAAAATTGATTGTATTTGGAAATGTCATAAACACGTAACACTCCTAATAGAAGGTGTGGATGTAGAAAGAGAAGAGATTAATTTCCTGGGTGTAATTATTGACAAAATAAGTGCACATTAAACATATGCAAACTCTCAAAAAGCATCTCCATCTTGGCAAATGTAAAACATTCTCTCAATCAGAAATCATTGCACATTTTGCACTCCTCTCGAGTACAGTATTACTAAATTAAAATGATTCCGAAGTTTGGAGAAACGCCTACAAGAATGCACTGCAGCCTATTTATATTGCAAAAGAGCTGAAAGAGCAGTCCTTCACCATACAAATGTGCCATTTCTACTGTCTCAAATTTTACAGTTATTTGATCTTGTGGAATTTAAAACGGTTCAATATTATAAAGCCAGACACAGCTTGCTGTCAGGCAACATTGAAAATGTGTTTTCTAGAGAGAGACGGTAGCCATAGTTTGAGGGCAATATGTAACTGAAAAGCTCTTACATGTCTATGCGGAGGGAAACAGACCTACAACAATGTCCAGATATACAAAAGGTTAAAAAGAACATTTTTTAGAAGTATAGGAAGGAGGAAGTTGAAAACTGTTTTCATATGTAGGGCGCACTGGATTATAAGGCGCAAAGAATTGAAGCTACCACAGTGGCTGAGATTGCGTTCTGCATCCACTCGATGGAGCTACGCTAAAGGGAATACAATACAATACAGCTTTATTTATATCGCGCTTTCACAACCGCTGCAGCTGTAACAAAGTGCATTACAGAACATTTAAAATACTACATCCAAGAAATCTGAATGTTAATCTATATATAAGGTGCATTGGATTGTAAGGTGCACTGTCGGGTTTTGAGAAAATGTAATGCTCTTAGGTGCACCTTATAGTGCGGAAAATACGGTAATTCTCCTTAAAATGGCCTCTGTGCTTGAAATAAAAGTAACAAACTTAGGCTGGTTTTATCCATGTCAGAACTTCAATGATATGATCTATTTTGATATATAGGTGGGCTGAATTTTTATACCGACATCATGGAACTTCTTATCTCAGTTTTGGACAGATGTGATACAGGCTGACATGTGAATGTCTGATGTTGCTCACGGTGTTCCAAGGAATGTTCAGGATGTTTGTGTGATTGGTCAGAAGCTTGCAAAAATCAGAGGGATCAGTGCTTATATCATGAAATACTTTTAGCCCAGCCCTACAGCTTCACAAGTGTAATTATATTAACAGTACATTTTTTTATATACAGTAGTTTTTTTCATTACATGTTTGAAATAAAATTCAAGGAGTCTTGCCAATAGACACTTTTATAAATGTTATCTGTTGAAATGGTTGTCAAATATTGACTATTAAGTAAAGAACTGAAACTAATCCGGGGTCGTCTTTGTGAAAATAGGATGAAATTGAACAGGTGATTTTAGTTGGCGGCGCTACACGTGTCCCTAAAGTTCAGGAAGTGCTGCTCAAAGCAGTCGGAAAGTAAGTGACACATTGAAGTAACTTATTTTATTGCCATGTTTTCAGTGATGTCAGGACTTCATAATTCTCTTGAAATTAGGGAGGAGTTGGGGAAAAATATAAACGCGGATGAGGCAGCAGCCATGGGAGCAGTTTATCAGGCTGCAGCTCTCAGTAAGGCCTTCAAAGTCACACCATTCCTGGTCCGAGACGCAGCCGTCTTCCCCATTCAGGTTGGTTGATTTTATTCACCGATGGATATTTGCCACACAACATTTGACTTATCCCTGATAATACTTCTTTATTTACTCAAAGGTAAAATGCATTTTTTACATCCTTGTCACGTTGTACCTTTTGTTCTTGTTTTTTCCAGTCACATTTTCATTGATTTTGATTACTGTCACTTGCCACATGTCACTTCCTTCCATCTCTTTTGTGTAAAATATGCTCCCATGAAATTTACTGTGTACTGTATTATAAAGCTAAACCAATACTCCTTTGCCGATAAAATGTGTAAAATTGCCATCACTAGAAGAATCACGTTGCAGATGTGTAGACATTTTGCACTGTTTTTATGCCAAGTTGTTTTTATGAGTAGGATATCACTGTAGCGCTAAACATTTCTGATTCCATTTTGTTTGGTGGATTTCACACATGAGATTGAGGAGGCTGTATTGCTGATAAAATGTGATATGATTTGAAGAATCTGGTTGCAATTATGTGGACAATATGCACTGGTTTAATGCCAAGTTCTGTTTTTAGAAGGATACCACTGTAACTCTAAACATTTACGGTTACATTTTGTTAGGTGGATTTCACTCGTGAGGTTGAGGAAGAAGGTGCCAAAACCTTGAAACACAGCAAACGAATCCTCTTTCAGAGGATGGCACCCTATCCCCAGCGAAAGGTCATCACATTCAACCGCTATAATGATGACTTTGCTTTCAACATCAACTATGGAGATCTTAGTTTCCTGTCTCAGGAAGACCTCAGGTAGCTGCTATGTCTGTATTGTGCTCTGGAATTCCCATTTAAATGTACATGATTCTCAATGGTTTAATCCTCTTACTGAATTCCCTGTTCATTCATGCTAACCACGTCGCTCATGTATCTTCACAATTGCAGTGTGTTTGGCTCTCTCAACCTGACAACAGTCAATTTGTCAGGAGTAGGCAGCAGCTTTCAGAAGCACACGCAGGCAGAGTCCAAGGGGATTAAGGCCCACTTCAACATGGATGAAAGTGGAGTTCTCCTCCTGGATCGGGTAAGTGTATCATTGTAATCAGGGGTGCCCAACCTTTGTTTGACTGAAGATCAACTTTTCATGCAACCAACCTTCCGCGAGGTTGGTTGCATGGTTACTGCATGCACACGCACATGCATGCCATGATGAGCAACATTCGTCGTAACGGCTCCTAACATGAATGAAACAGAAACATATGGTAGATACAAGAGTTTGTTAGTTTGTGAAAAGGAAATCACTGCCTACCTTAGTACAAACCTGACGCGGAAGCATGGAATGCACTTTTCAGAGATGAAAGTCCTCCGGATTTTCCCGGAATTCCGGGTTTTTCAAATTTTTATGAAAATTTCTCCGGAGAATTGAGGAAAATAAAATTAATCCGGATATTAGTTGACAACATTGGACGAAGACGCGTTTGAGTTCGTTGTATTGCTTTCACGAGCGTAGCCATATTGAGGCACTAACAGTAACAGTAAAGAGATTTTTGTTTGTGTAATAACGACAGAAGGCATGATGGCGTTTGACTAATGGTTTAGTAGAACGAATGGCAACTCGCAACAACAGTAGCAAGCGTCATTTTGCCTCTTGGGTTATACCATCTCAACTAGAACGTGGGGGATTGTCCCCAAACAATTTTCGTCTCTTTTTAAACACACTTGCTAAACCCC